TTCAATTCTACCCCTCATATAACACCCTCCCACCCCCCAAGATATAATGATTTACCTTTCACTACAAAGCACAAACTCAAGAGATTTCTAGATTTGGCTGTTTGGGCCCCTCTCATAAAAAAAAAAAAAAAATCAGCATATTCCCAGACTGAAGCCACTGAGGACACCCGCCGGCAGCTCAGCGGTCACCCTCCTCTTGGTCCCAAGCACCCAGATCGACCCAGCAGCATCCCCATCTCAGACACCAGCCGGCGGTACCCATGTCCATCGCTCCAGGTGCACACAGATTTAGGCTCATTTAATGCCCCACTCATACCAAAAGCTGAACGGCACCAAGAGGACAGGTCCAGGGAGCACAATTTACCCTGTGTGTCCCCTTCCTCCCTGCAGCCCTGCAAACCCTAACCCAAACTGTGCCATGCAAGCTCTGCATGAGGTGAAGCCCTTCTCCTTCGTCCCAAAAACCTGACCCCCGGGCTGTCTCCCTGCCGGGGACAAACCCTGCCAGAAATTGCCACTGCAGAAGTGGGGAAAAAGAGGCCCAGGTGGGACTGAACAGGGATGACAACCTCTGGCATCATTTATACAAGGTGATGGCCATGCCGGGCATGGACCAAAAATTACAGTAAGTCTTAGGAGTCAGTACTGGGGACTCCTGTGTGTTTGAGTTCCAGGAGTGGTATGATGCCAAGGTCGCTGAACCTCATGAACATCTCCCACCAACCGGGACAGCGTTAGCCTGAGCCCCTGCACAGCAATTATTTGATGAGTTTTGGCAGAGCAGGACCCTGACTGGGAAGCAGCACTATCAACCTGACGTACAAAAGAGGAACCAAAAATTGCTGCTGAGTTTTCCTATTGCTCCTCTGGCTACTTCTGCCATCCACACTGTGAGCAGAGACTCCGGTTCAATCCCAGATTTGATGCTCTTACAGGAATGAAGTCCCCCAGCCCCTCCAGTAAAGCCTGTCCCTCCTACTCCTGACTTCTCCAGCGCCTGGCGGTATCATCCAGCCTTGGCTGAGCAGAGCATCAGAAACACACGTACGACACCTTCACAGTGCCAAAGTCTCAAACACACAAATCAAAAACCTCATCCAGATCCTGAGCCGTACAGTGGCCACAGGACAGAAATAAAACATAGGACGCAGTACTACTTTGCTCTGAAGAGCATCTCTCTTTTTCCTTTTCCAACATGCCTCCCGACGGGATCATGCACCGCAGGGGGAAGAGCTCATCCAGCAACTGGCCACAATGACATGACGTCCCAAAACAGCACAAAAGACTTGTCACAGCTGCTGCCCAAAGCTGACCCCCCCGCCCCGGGTGCTCGCTCCAGGGACACGGAACCCTCGCGTCCCGCCTTGGCTGTAACCCAGCCCGGTGCCCGCCCTCTGAGAAAGGAGTATAAAGTGCTCGTGGACAACCCCGCGCTGCCATCCCAGCGCGTCCTCCGCCGTGCATCTCACATCGCTGCTTCCCTGCGCGGGGGAGGATCTGTCACAGCAGCCCATGGATGCTAAATGTCTTGCTGGAAAGACCTAAGTTTTATTTAAAAACTTTGAATATGCCAGGCAGCACCATCAAAATAAAACTAAAAAGGAAATAATTCCTAAACTCTCTTGTCAAAAAAACAAGGATCCCGGAGGCTTTGCCCCTAAGCTGCCTTTTTTAACAAGCTCTTGGGCAAAACGGCCACCCAGTGTCCATCTCCCTTGTATTGCACACAGTCAGATGCCTCGGTAAGACACAAGACCCGATCCCAAAGCGATGGTCTCGGCTCTGGGATCTCCAAGTTTGCACAAGAACATGCTCCAGCCTGTACAAGTGCCCACCATGCTGCTGGTGGCATACAGGCAATAAATAACTACTCTGTGATTTATCCTGACCCTTCACCAAAGCATAAAGGAAAAATAATTAGATCTACGGATATTCTTCTACTTCATTAAAATATTTGAACTATAAGCCTCTGTAATCAAAAAGCACGGAGTGAAACCTGTATTCCAAGTGATTAAAGGATGGGGGGAAAGAGAGAGATGTGGTCAACCGTTCAGAAGGGGAAATGGGGATGTGTCAAAATGGTCCCTCCTAGCAAGTGGGATGCCTGCTCCAGGTAGCCTTAGTGCAGGTTTCCTGCACTATTTTCTAGGTAGATCTAGAGGCTTACAATTAAAAAGCAAATGCAATTTTCTGCTGCTGGAAAGAACAAGCCTTTGGCTGGGAAACAGCTCCGGTTTCTTGCCTGTGATGGCTTGGATTTTGGTAACTCAGGATTGCAACCCAGTGACTGGACAAACAGACTGACATTGCCCAGGCTTGCAGCAGCGCGACATCTCCATCAACAATAAAATAACAGAAACTCGGCATCTCTACCAACAAGAAAATAACAAACTCAGCGTCTCTTCAAATAGCCTTTCTGTTAGTGGGTTCAGAAGGATGCCTGGTACAACCACCCCCAGCTCTCTGCTCAGGTGAGACTAAGCAAAAATTACCTTTTTTTTTCATCTCTTCTCTAAAACAGAGCTTTTTTTTTTTTTTTTCCCCTTCTTTTAGGTCTCCTTATATTAGAGACTTCCATCCATTATTCAGTACTCATTAGTGGGACCTTTACACAAGAAACTCCTCCGCACACATACATATTTGGATAAAATTAATAATCCTACACCAGACCTTAAGCCCAGGGAAACCAGCTTAACTCAGGTGGTGCAATACAGAGTGGATGGACCAAGCAGATCCCCACAGGTGTGATGGACCAAGGCCACCGTGTCCCAAGGAGATGCCATCAGGCAGCCGAAAGCCCCGCTGGACCCTACGAACGGGGCTGGGATGCTCTGAATCAGGTCCAGCCTCTCCCAAACTGGTTTTCAGCCTCAGGGAAACACAGAAGCAATTTCCTCTGAAGTCACCGAGCTGGTACTGGATTAAATT